TCACAAAAATAAGTCATGGTTGCAGTAAATGCTGTAGAGGGAAATTCGTTGGAAAATGATGTTTGGTCAGACACTGTTTCCCTGATGAAGTGATGATTGAGCATGGGATGAAGAAGAGCCTTCCAGACCCAGGAAGCCACATGTAGAAGAGCATCGTGGTAGGAGGGATGGAGCTGCCATGCCATGCTCTAGGAAAGAGGACTTGTGTCTGACACCTCCAGGCCTGGAAAAGAGTGGAGCTGAACTGAACCATGAGGACCTTGGTGAGCCACGTCTAGCACAATGGTGTGTATCTTCTGCAAGATATTAGGAAGTACTCACTCACCGAATGTACAAACTTCAGGCTTTTCTCTTATTCCCATTGCCTCATAGTTATCTCTACCTGGACATTCAGCTGGATGATTTTTCATTTGCTATTGATTTATATGCTATTCTGGTGAAGATTTTTGAAAGTACTCTCAGAATTAATAGGAAAGGAAGTTATTTAAAAATTGCCACTTGACAATTATGATGTTTTAAAATACAACCAGACTATAGTATAAATAGAGGGTTGGTTCTTGGGCTAACCCACAGGTGACTATTTTCAGTCGTACATTGGAGAGAATATCGGAAATGAAATCGCAGCTGTACTGCCCTCCAGTTGTGAATATCCATTGCATGTCTGCATTTTGTTGAGGTGTATCGAAGCTGTAAAGGAACTTCTAAGATGTGTCAACAGCTTTAAAGATTGGTACCCTATTTCTTTAAGGTGATTAATATTTCAAAATGTGTGGATTCAGGTGTGCACCACCATCTTTCTGCATACCAATCATTCCTGTGGTTTTTAGAATGTAAAGAAATGTATTTTTCTGAAGTAATTGGTTGAAAGGGTAAAAAGGGATTAAGAATATATGCGTATAGGTCCAGCCCCTTAGTGGTTCAGGGAGTTGATTTCTACGTGGCTGACCTGCCTCGGCCTTCAGGTCCCACCATGGCAGCTTGAAAAACACACCATGTTTGTGTGTCTGAGTATGTCTGAGTGAGAGAGAGAGAGACTCAAATCTTGACTGGATGGAGAAATGGAGAAGAGATTGTGGTGTGACCACACTCCATTGAGGACAGCTTTTTCTCTCGCCCTCTGTCACTAGCAATTAAAAAAAATGAATATTGGGACCAGCAGATGGCATAATGGTTATATCACTGGACTCCCATGTAATTGACTACGGTTTGTGTCCCAGTCCCGGTGACTTAAAACTCACGCCAGGTGCCTCTATGTGCATGCCCAAAATCCCAAGAGGAGAAGAGATCACTGAATGGCCATCCCCCCCAACCCCTGGGGAGAGGGAGTGATTTCCCACTTTCTGTCTCTCTATATCTCTCTGTCTTTCTAGTGAGCACATCCACTCTATAGCAAAAATCTCCAAAAAAAAAAAAAAAAAGAATATATACGTGTAACATGGAACAAGGCTGCATTCTGCCTTCTTGTTGCAGGTCTCTTGTGATTAACAAGAGTCCTTTTTGGAGTCCATTTATTGCCATGTATTATCCATTTTCGTACTTTTCATTAGTGATTTCACCGTCTGGAATGGCCCCCAAGTTTCGTGCTGAAGTGCTGTCTGGTGGCCTGAAGGAAAAGAAAGCTGTGAGGTGTCTTGGGGCAAGGTCTGAGCATTAATTACATAAGCTTCGTTTAGGGCTAAGTTATAGTGCTGTTGAGTTAAGTTCAGTGTTGATGAATCAACAATGCACATTAAAGAAAGTGTCTTCAAAGGTAAAATAAGGTTATAGAATGTATTGATTGGTGATGAAAATGCTGTGACTGCAGAGATTCAGAGGAACTCTACTGTTCTTGGAATAATTGTTCAGTATTTGCTAATTCAATGTTCACTACCACGTATGAGAACTGACTACACGTGTGTCATGTGTAGACAAATTATGTGCATATTTTCATACATGTGAGTGTGTACGAAAATGAGAGTGATAGAGAGTGACAAAGATAACCTCGGGTCGAGTTAACTAAACTCCAAAGAGAACAAGAAAAGAAAAAAGATGGAATCATGCACATAGCATTGTGGGCCAGAAGGAAGGCGTATGTGGGACATGGATAAAGTGACAGTTCCTTCTGCTAGCCGTGAACGTCTTGAGAGATGAGGGCAGTGTTGTTTCTCTCTGCAGTGAGCAGGGATGGTCTCGTGGAGTGCATGGTGTTCAAGACTGTGCAATTAGTAATCCACATGTGCCAAGTACTTTGGGAGGGACTCTACACCATTACCAGAAAGCCACTTTGTTCTGAAGACACTGAGGAATTTTATCCTTCTCTTACATCTCAGTTACTTCAGTTTTACCTTGATCATCTTTTTCTTTTTTCCTTTAGCTGCCTTTTGAGTTCTTTGGTTTGTTTTCAAGGTTTAGGGAGACTTACTGGGTCCAGAGAGTGAGTAGTCTTTCTACCCACCACCTCCCCTCCTTTGCCCCACCTTGTAACTTGTTTATGTGCACATCAAGGTTTCTGAAATTCAAACAACAAACTCAAACCAGCAAAGGTGTTTACTGCGCCAGATTGTAGCAAGCTGTGTTTCGTTTTTTTATTTACTCATTTTTGTTTTCTGCTTGATGAGGTTTTTATGTATAGATTGAGACTGGGCTTGGAGACAGAGACTAAGCAACTGCTCTGGTAGAAGCTTTCTTTTTCCTTTTTTCTTTCAAAGGATACAGAAATGATAGAGATTGGAAACCTTTATGTGTTGTATACTTTGAACCTGTGTGTCCAACTTGCCTTATAGGTATTTTTAGCTTTAATATCCTTTCATAATATTGTCCTGATCTCTCCTTTGCCAGAAAGATGGGTATTTTTTAAAGGCCATTCTGTGATATAATTTTTTGTTTTGTTTTGTTTGTCTTTTGAGAGAAAGAGATTTTTGCTATAGGGTACATGCACTTGCCAGTTTATGTGCACATCAAGGTTTCTGAAATTCAAACAACAAACTCAAACCAGCAAAGGTGTTTACTGCGCCAGATTGTAGCAAGCTGTGTTTCGTTTTTTTATTTACTCATTTTTGTTTTCTGCTTGATGAGGTTTTTATGTATAGATTGAGACTGGGCTTGGAGACAGAGACTAAGCAACTGCTCTGGTAGAAGCTTTCTTTTTCCTTTTTTCTTTCAAAGGATACAGAAATGATAGAGATTGGAAACCTTTATGTGTTGTATACTTTGAACCTGTGTGTCCAACTTGCCTTATAGGTATTTTTAGCTTTAATATCCTTTCATAATATTGTCCTGATCTCTCCTTTGCCAGAAAGATGGGTATTTTTTAAAGGCCATTCTGTGATATAATTTTTTGTTTTGTTTTGTTTGTCTTTTGAGAGAAAGAGATTTTTGCTATAGGGTACATGCACTTGCCAGAGAGACAGAAAGTGAGAAATCACCCTCTCACTCCCACAGGTGATGGCCATGTTGCAATCCCTTTCCCTCTTGGGATTTCGGGAACAGATGCACATGTGCCTGATGTGAGTTTCAAGCCTCTGGGTTGAGAACTTGAGCCACGGTGGACCATGTGGGAGTCCAGCACCTTAACCACTATGCCACCTGCTGGTCCCATGTGATATGGATTTAAGTAGTATTTTGTTAGTATCTGTGGGGCTGATTCCTGTAGGTACCTGATAATTTAATGAGGTGATATTTACCACCTAAGATTCCAAAAACAAAATGTATCAAATGATGAGAGAACGGACTTAAGTCTTTAGTTGATCTGTGATCAGTGCCTCTTTTCCTAATAAAAAGGAGCTGCTTTTAACAGATCTTTGTCAGGATACAGAGCAGAAGGTAGCTTTGTTTAGATGGCATCTGTGGACTCAATAGAAATCTACTGTATCAGGCTATGTTTTCCACAGCAGTTCTTGGCTGAGCTGCTTTTCTGCTTGAACAAAAAATATTCCAGAAGGGATTTTAAGTCTGACAATATGGCCGTCTCCTTACTCACAATATGGCCGTCTCCTCACTCTCTTTAATGCATTCATAAAATGTGGTATTTTGACTCTTTTAGAACATCTTGGTCAGGGACCAGCAGTTAGTGTAATGGCTATGTCGCTGGACTCCCATGTAGTCGACCGCAGTTCGCATCCTAGACCCGGTGGCTTAAAACTCATGCCAGGCACATGTGCGTGCGTGCCCAAGATCCTGAGAGGAAAAGGGAGGAGAAGGAAATGCGGCGTGGCCATCCCCCCTAGGGGGTGATTTCTCGCTTTCTGTCTCTGTCTGTCTGGTGAGCGCACGCGCCCTATAGCAAAAACCTCTCCAAAAAAAAAAAAAAAGAGAACATCTTGGCCAGTTGTAAAGAAAACAAAAAAAGACTAGGCTAAAAATTACCCAAATGTTCTATAAAAAGGAATAAATTGGTGCTTTTTGAAAATCTTCTACCTTATATTAAAATCACAGAGGATCATCTCCCGTAAAGAAACAAATTTAGAATGACAAAGTTTTAGTTTGACATGCTCAAGTCTGAAAGAAGACACTTAGAAAGAAAATAAGCCTAGAATAATTTTTGTATCGAAAAGAAAATTCAACAAAAGGATCAAAATCTTTCACTTTTGTTCCATGATTTAATAATTTAATTGTATTTTTCCTCTAGTACCAAAAGCAGTACACTATGATTGCAATAGTTAAATAAGTACTTTTTTTCCTCTTTAAAAATGCATAAAAATATAGGATTAAATTACTTTCAGATATCTGATTTCTGAAAATATCACTTTAAAATGAAATTTTTATATTCTGCTGTCAAAATGACAGGAAAAAATACATTGGTTTTAAACATGTTTGAATGAATAAGTGTTTTGCAGATCATGAATAGTTAATAACCTTATTTGTAAGATTTAGGGGTGGTTGGAATAGCATTAAGCATAGTTACACTTTAACCCTGTGAATTAAGTCAGGGCTTACTGCAAACAGATGCTAAGAAGAGCATCATTATCTAAGGGACTCAGCTGATCAGATTTTGAAAAACTGCTTGTTTTTGTTTTTTCTAGAGAGCACAGTCAGATGAACTGGAAAAAATCGAAAAGCACGGCCGGTCCTCCAAAGACAAGGAAAACGCCAAATCTCTGGACAAACCTGAGCAGTAAGTATGCCTTAGGACACAACAGAGGGCATCCTGGTATGGGTGGGCTTTTTCCTTTTGGAAAATGCAGTTTCTTCCATGCATAATTGTTCGGAATGAGATGAAGATAAATATCTGTTTATATGAATTCTATTTTTCTTCTTAACTTGGCTTTATTTCCTTAGGTTCCTTTATGAACTGTCACTAATCCCCAACTTTTCAGAGCGAGTCTTTTGCATCCTGTTCCAGTCCACGTTTTCAGAAAGCATTTGCTCAATTCGTCGCAAACTGGAGTTGCTACAGAAATTGTGTGAGGTGGGTTCTGGTCCACAGAGAGCTGAACTTGAGTTCTGATATTTAATTTTGTTCAGTCCTGTTCATATTTCAAAACAGTTTTCTTTTGTTTACTCTAAGTACTCATTAAATTTGAAGGATAGCAGTCCCACTGAAGGGAACATTTTATGATTGAGCTTCAAGATCAAAGCGCATGGTCAGATTGGCACTTGCGGCTGCAGGACCACATTGCAGGAGTGTGGCCAGTGTGCATTGGCATCTGGAGAGCTCTTATCTTTGCTTTCGCCAGAACAAAATCTTCACTTCCGTGGTCCTCTCAGACATTAGACTTCCAAATGAGTGAGATATGCAGGCATTTTATTTCTTTTTCTTCCTTTTTTGGAAAGGGCCCCACAACAAATTGTTAACAATTACTCCAACCAAATTACTTAGGAGCAGCCATATGACTCAATAGAAGATAAATATTCTGAAAACAAAGAGTAAATGCTTGGCAGAAATGGCCAATGTGAACATTTAGAACAATTTGTCAAACATCAATGGTACCTTTCATTCCGGTTGTGGTAAATCATTATGAAAAGTGGAACAATATTATCAATGATCTTTTCAGAGGAAGGGACACACAAATCGAAGTTAAACTTAGTGTTTTGGAAAAAGTGAATGTGAACTTTTGGGGGGGGTACATCTACATTTGGAAATTAACCTTTATAACTGCTTTTTGGTTTTGGACAAGTTACTTTGAAACTTTGTACAATATTATTTCAGATTATTTGTACAATTGAGACCATGGCAGTGATAGTATTTTGAAGTAGTTCTCATTTTACAATCTTATTTGTTTTTTTGCCATTTCATTGTAAATATGGCCTACATTGGCATCTCTCAACTTACCAAAGCGTACCTGAATGCTTATTGGTGGTGCAACTTTTTAAAGTTAGCTTTGGAGACTGCTTCTAAAATATACCTTGTAGGGAAGAATAATAGTTTGGTTGTGTTCCAAATGAATAATATGAATACTTGGCACTGACTGAAAATAATTCTTTTTTTTTTTTTTGGAGAGATTTTTGCTATAGGGTATGTGTGCTCTCCAGAGAGAGAGGGAGAGAGACAGAGAGACAGAAAGCAAGAAAGCGAGAAGTCACCCCCCAGTGGAGAGGAGTATGCCACAATCCCTTCTCCTCCTGTCTCCTCTCCTTCTTCTCCCCCTTTTCTCCATTCTCCTGGGCACACATGCACAAGTGCCCAGCCTGAGTTTTAAATCACTGGATGTGGGACTTGAACCACAATCGACTATGTGGGACTCCAGTGATGTAACTATTGCGCCATCTTCTAGTCCTGACTTAAGACAATGCTAACAAAACTTTATGTAAACAAAAAGTTGTTCTCTATTCTGTTTTACAGACATTAAAAAATGGCCCAGGGGTTATGCAAGTTCTGGGTTTAGTTCTTGCCTTCGGTAACTACATGAATGGTGGGCATAAGACCCGGGGACAGGCAGATGGCTTTGGGTTAGATATTCTTCCAAAGCTGAAAGATGTCAAAAGCAGTGTAAGTATTTTGGATTACTGGCTGTAGATAAGATACTTTGTTTAGTAACCACGGTTCGTGTCCCGGACCCAGTGGCTTAAAACTCACACCAGGCACATGTGCGTGCGTGCCCAAGATCCCGAGAGGACAATGGAGGAGAAGGGATTGTGGTGTGACCGCCCCCCCTGGGGGGTGATTTCTCACTTTCTGTCTCTGTCTTTCTGGCAAGCGCACGTGCCCTATAGCAAAAACCTCTCCAAAAAAAGATGTCAGAAAGTGAGGGGGCTGGCAGGTGGTGTGGTGGTTAAGCTCACTGGACTCCCACATGGCCGACAGCGGTTCAAGTCCTGGACGTGGCAGCGTGTTTCCTCACTTTCTCTCTCTCTCTCTCTCTCACTCTGTCCCTCTCTGGACAAATTTAAAAATAAATAAATAAAATAAACTGACTGAAAATAATTCTTTTTTTTTTTTTTGGAGAGATTTTTGCTATAGGGTATGTGTGCTCTCCAGAGAGAGAGGGAGAGAGACAGAGAGACAGAAAGCAAGAAAGCGAGAAGTCACCCCCCAGTGGAGAGGAGTATGCCACAATCCCTTCTCCTCCTGTCTCCTCTCCTTCTTCTCCCCCTTTTCTCCATTCTCCTGGGCACACATGCACAAGTGCCCAGCCTGAGTTTTAAATCACTGGATGTGGGACTTGAACCACAATCGACTATGTGGGACTCCAGTGATGTAACTATTGCGCCATCTTCTAGTCCTGACTTAAGACAATGCTAACAAAACTTTATGTAAACAAAAAGTTGTTCTCTATTCTGTTTTACAGACATTAAAAAATGGCCCAGGGGTTATGCAAGTTCTGGGTTTAGTTCTTGCCTTCGGTAACTACATGAATGGTGGGCATAAGACCCGGGGACAGGCAGATGGCTTTGGGTTAGATATTCTTCCAAAGCTGAAAGATGTCAAAAGCAGTGTAAGTATTTTGGATTACTGGCTGTAGATAAGATACTTTGTTTAGTAATACCTTTGATTATAAACCACTAATAGTAAACATTCTTTATGTTCAAAAGTAAAGTAAATCATTCTTTATGTTCTGAGTAAGATAAAAGTAATGACAATGAAATATTTGTGAATGAGTGAATAATAATGTTTTCTAAAGTGAGTAATTAAAAATTTTATCTCTAATGAATAATTAAAATATTTTAAAGTAAAAATAAATATTTTTATTGTACCTTTACTATGTCTGCTAATATTTATTTTCTTAGAATTTGAAGACTAATTATTTTCTGTGGATTAGACAGTATATCTGATTTTCTCTTCTCCATATTAAGTAATGAAGGCCAGTTGACTCACATTTCAGAAACAAAACAAAGATTAATGAAAGTAGTTTGTAAATAAAGTATAAAAGATGATCCTGCTTGTCTCTTTTTTTTTTTTCTCTCTCTCTCTTTTTTTTAATCATCCTCCCACCTCCCAATTTTTCTCTTTTTAAAACTGGTATGTATGGTAATGTCTAAACCCTTTTGCAGACTTAATTATTTTTGGAGTCTTCTCTAAAAGTGTGTTTATTTAAAAGTAATATCTAAGAAATTGTCAGAGTGCCAGTGGAAATATAAGGTTAAAGATGATGGTTAGAATCACAGACTAAAGACTAAGATTCTAAACTTAGAAAATAAAAGTTATGTTTCCCTGATAAAAGAATTACTTCACGGGACCAGAAGTTAGCATAATGGCTATGTCACTGGACTCCCATGTGGCCGACTGCCATCCAAGTCCTGGACTGGGTGGCTTAAACTCACTCTGGGTGCGTGTGCATGCGTGCCCAAGATCCCGAGAGGAAAATGGAGGAGAAGGGATTGTGGTGTGGCCATCCCCCCGGGGTGGGGGTGATTTCTTGCTTTCTGTCTCTCTCTGTCTTTCTGGCAAGTGCACGTGCCCTATAGCAAAAACCTCTCCAAAAAAAAAAAAAAATCACTTCACAAAATATTATGAACATATTTTTAAAAATACTTAGTTTAACTAAATAATTGGTTTATAGAAATTAAAATACAGGTTTGTCCTTCCTAGATACTAAAATAATCTACTTCACAAGTGAAAACATTTTTGGACTTTTTGTCAATCAACTATTTACTTATTTATTTATCTATTTATTTATATGTTCACATATATATATGAATGAGTAAATACTATGTGTTCATATATTTGAATGTTCATATGAATACATATAGACATTAAACCATCTTTCATTGAGCATCTGTGAAATGTCGAACTGTGTTTCTAAAACTGAATAATATTTAGGCCTTCCTTGGCCAAACTAACAACACATACTTTTTATGATTTTTATAATTATGTTTATTCAAATGCTATTATATTTGTATATATTTGTTTTTATAGAAACCTCAAATATATAGACCTGATAAATTATTTTTGTTAAAAAACAAATACTCTGTTTTTAAAGACGTTGGTTCCTGAATATTAGCAACTGCTTGTTGGTTTGAAACAAATAACGTTTACAAATGACATGGAAAGATAAAAGCATCCATATAACGTTCAACTTATAAAAATGGGCCTGAAATAGATTCTAGTAATCATAATTATACAACATATGAATAGGGATTATTTGGAAGTTTTTTATACGTGTGTGTATGTATATATATATGTATCTATACATGTATTTTGTCCTTTAGATGGGGCATGGGTTCCAGTTTACCACACTCACTACCACTCCTTTTGGTCTTATACATGACTGCTCTCCTTTATGTGTATATATACATGAATATATATATATACATGCATATATACATATATATACACACACATGTACATAATTCAATCCTCCATTAAGTTAAATTTCAGTAATTTAAGTAATTTAGAATTAAATCTAGCATGAAAGGTTAATACTGAATCAAAAAGAAAGTTTTTGTTTGTTTGTTTTGTTTTTTTTTAAGGTTTTTGGCATGTGTGCTTGCCAGAAAGAGAGACAGACAGACAGACAGACAGAGAACAAGTGAGAAATCACCCTCAGGGGGGATTACCATGTTGCAGTTCCTTCTTTGTTTTACTTTGGGGATTTTGGACATGCACACACACACACACACACAACCGGTGTGAGTTTCGAGCCACCCGGTCTGGGACTCAAACCACAGTCAATCATATGGTAGTCCAGTGCCTTGACTACCATGCCAACTGCTGGCCCAAAGAAAGTTGTTTGTTTGTTTATTTGTTTGTTTTAATACTGTTACTTGCACTCTCAGAAGAGCTATGGTAACTTTTCCCGAACTGTTTTTTGCCTAAAAAGCAACCTTAATGATACCTACTCCATAGCGCTATTCATGGATCTCAGTGGAGAGACTTCTCAGAATTTTCTCTCAGCATACCTATCAGCAGGTTTTTAATAAATACTTTGTTAGTTGATTCAGATACTGTTAACTGTTTTCATTGGTTTATAAGAGAGAGAAGAGAAGTCAGGTTACTTAAAAGATTTTACAAGCAAATTCTGCTTAATGAGAGAAGTCTGATATACTACCATCTCCTGTCAAATTCATTCAGAAAAGCATGGTGGTTACATCAGAAATTCCGGAGCATATAGTTTGTATCATAAAGTTTGTTTTTAAAGTAAAATATATAGTCTCTCAAATCCAGATTACTTACATTCAATTTGGAGCAAATTAAAAAAGGTAATTAAAAAGTAATACTTCTTAATATACCAGAAAAAAGGTGAAAAAAGTTTTTGAAATTCATTAGATTTAAAACAATTTTATATTTTTTCCTACAGAACTACATACATTATCTTTTTTTTGCTTTAAGACACATGTACCTGACAGAGAGAGAGAGAAACAGTGAAAGGGAAAATGAGAAATCACCCCCTAGGGAGGAGGGATACACCACAGTCCTTCTCCTCCATTCTCCTCCTGAGATTTTGGGTGTGCATGCATGTACATATGCCCAGCATGATTCACAGGTCACTAGGTCTGAGACTCAAACCACAGTCAGCCATTCTGGAGTCCAGCACCTGAACTAACATGCTACCTGCGGGTCCATCATTTTTTTATTTATAGCTATGTAGGTATGAAGGCCTCAATTTCAGTTGCTGGTATGTGACAAATTATAATGCTCATTGATGTTTTAAAAGCTCCACCTTTTAAGTGATACTTAACTTTTTTTTTTTTCCATAGTCGATATGCAGATAAGCCTCAGTTAATCAATGTGGGAGTGGAACTTCCTAGTCCAACTGTATTTAAATGCTAGTAATATATAATTATTTCAGATGGTAGTTATAAAACATAAACATAATTATTAAATAAAAATCACAATAAAATCAAAATAACAAAACAAATTAATGAAGTGAATTTCTGATAGGGGAGGGTAAAAATAGGAATGCTTCTTCTTGAAGCTTAGATCAGAATAGTGAGGAGGAAAGAATATTTTTTTGCTATTGAACTCCTTAGATACAATGACTGAGGCAAATCAAAATGTTAACATTTCAATTTTTATTTTAAATGTTCATCTATATATACATACATATATTTATAGATTACCTAGACTCTAATATATTTAACACTGTATATTTAATAATTTTTAAATATATTATTACTTACTTTGGTCTTTCTGCCTAGGACAATAGCAGAAGCCTTTTGTCATATATTGTTTCATATTATCTTCGGAATTTTGATGAGGTAAGACAATTTTTTGCATAGAGTCATATATTTTGCTATCTCTATTTGTTGATTGATTTTGCAGGGTTTTGTTGCCTTTTTTTTTTTTTTTTTTTTGCTTTTGCTTTTTTTGCTATTGTTTTTGTTGCATTATTCTTATTTATATTGACACGACTTTTATTTAAAGACTATGTGTTTTTTACAACTTAGGATGCTGGAAAAGAACAGTGTGTCTTTCCACTGCCAGAACCTCAGGACCTTTTTCAGGCCTCACAAATGAAGTTTGAAGATTTTCAAAAAGATCTCAGAAAACTGAAGAAAGACTTGAAAGGTAATTTATAACCTTGAACTCATATTTTTATAATGCTTTTTCAGTGAGAGGCAGACTTGCAGTGTTTTTGAAGGAAGTAAGTTGTCTTTCATAGCCTTCTAGAACAACATGATTTGGGGGTGTTAAATGTAAAATGTTGCCAATATTCTCATTTTTTGTCCTTTAGAGTTATGTATATTAGAAATTTAGATATTAAATAGTATCTTGGTTATTGGAATAGCAGTATCTTGGTTATTGGAATAGCAGTCTGTTTAATTGGGAGTAAGTTCCCATCTTGTTTTCATTTTATAGGCAAGAATGTTTGGGCATTGGTCATGCCGTGGTTGAACACAAATCATGTCATTGTAGAAGATAAATAATCCCTCATCATTCACCATTGGTATACTTGCCTAAGATTTGGTAGCTTGTGAATTTTCCTGGGAGAGCAAAATAACTTCTTTTATATATTCAATCAAAAACACTTATAAATATGTTATTTTATTGTCAGTTAAGAGGTTTTATATAAAACCATTTTAAAGAGAGTCTGAAATCTTTTAATTTCTAAATTAAAAGTAACATTTACACAAAAACAAAAATGAGTAGTTGGCAAACTTTTTTTTTTCCCTAAGTAGAATTCCTTTTATCCCCTTTACATGAGGTTTCTTATTGTGAAGTTGAGAACAGATCAACTATCTTTTTAAGCCTATTTCTAACTCTACTTATTACAGACAGGGAGTAAATAAATTGATGTGAGGTTTTCATTTGGTACATTACTAAATGGAAAGACGAGGTCTTGTTATCCCTATCCAGAAACTGAAAAAAAGGCATACCTTTAAAAATGACTCAATCTAAATTTTGAGATGTGTTTTTCCAAAGATACTGATCTGTCATCGGAGTCATACAGTTGCTACATTTTGGTCAAAGATGTGTTTATATGGATGCCAATCAATGTAGTGATGTTATATATAGTTTGCTTATAATTCTTATGTGTATATAAAAGCAACATTTGTTATGTGTTTGGTTTATGGCAGGCATTTTCTAGGTCCTATGGGTACACACAGATACTGTCATTCTGTGAGCAAGGCTAAAATTCCGTGTAGCAAGGAAAATTCTGTTGATTACATGTGCCCCCTTCTAGTCTTATACATGGGAGCTAATTGACCCCAAGAAAGGCTGCCTTGACTTGTCTTATTTTTTATTATAACAATAATTAACAACTATTTTACATTTGTATTATAATATGGTGCTACATATTTAAGAATGAAATCTTAAAGCAGTAGAAAAGGACATCCGCGCTATAGTATTTACCATACTTGACAATTACACCAGGTAACTTGGTTTGCTTATGAAATCTTCCACGCACACATACGCACCCACACAGATACACACACTCTGATGTGGCACTAAGAACATTGCTGAGGGATCTGGAAAGTATTTCACACTTTGATCAACAATTCAATCCTGCAAAGTAGGATTTCATAGTTTACAGATGATTTGATAAATGAGAGGAATGCTAATCTTATTACAAGGGGATTTATGTTTGCTTTGGTTGATGCATCATTTTGCTATCTTACCCTATTTCCTTTCAGTATCTACATATTTTCTTACTATAGGCATTAAATATATGAAAATGGCAAGTTCTTACAAGTTTTGGAGCTAAAAAAAGTTACTAACATCAGATAGTGGGTTTAAACAGAATGAGTAGCTGATGGCCTCTTATTTTATTTATTTATTTATTTTTTTGGAGAGGTTTTTGCTATAGGGCATGTATGCTCACCAGACAGAGAGAGAGCAAGAAAGTGAGGAATTACCCCCCGGGGGGATGGCCACACTGCAATCCCTTCTCCTCCATTCTCCTCTCGGGATCTTGGGCACGCACGCACACGCATCCGGCGTGCGTTTAAGTCACCGGGTCTGGGATGTGAACCGCAGTTTACGACGTGGGAGTCCAGTGACACAGCCATTACGCCAACTGCTGGTCCCGCTCATGGCCTCTTAATACTGTTTCCTCTTGAGCTTTTGCCTTCTTGAGCAATATGGTAGCTGCAGAAGATTAAATATTGCAGAGGCATCTTAGCAATTTTTGAAGGCCTCTGAGGATAAAAGAGATGATTTTAACTTCAAGGGTTCACACTTTACGAAGAGGAAAGATGAGCTATGTGAAAGGCCGGACCCTCAACTAACAGCTCTGTTTGCCTGGAAGGGTATTTTATTCTTTGTCCATACTCAGTTTAAAATTTGGTGCCCTATTAATGAGGAAGTTTATGAACAAATGAATGTGGAAACTGCTGGGTTAAGTTAAATTGAAAAGAAATTCACAGTTTATCCAGAAGAAGATTTTGCAATAACTTTAATAGTTTATTTAACCACAGAGCTCTTCCCCCCCGACCCCCCAACAGAGTAATTACTTGGTTCTGTAGTCATGGAACACAATTTAAGACATAGAAGCTCTTTAGGAGGTTAGTAACAGAAACATGACATTTGCCTCTGAGGCGAATCCTAGTGAAGGTGAGGAAATGAACTGTTGTTCAGGAAATAATGTAATTACATTACATTTACTGTTATAAAATCAAATGAGCTTGAAGAACTATTTAAGAAGGGCTGTCAAGCACTGAGGATTAAAAACTGACAAAAATCATAATTTACCTATTTTTTTCTTTTCCCAAATTTGAGCTTTTCCATAGATAATGATTCATAACACAACAAAGGAAATATTATAAACTGATATTTAAATTCAGTTTCTGGGCAGTAAAGATTTATTGTGAATGTAGTCTTTCCTATCAGCTAGGATTATCTCATACCCTTTTTAGGAATGAGATAGGTTTAAAGAGATTTATCTATCTAATTAAGTGATAGTCAAATGGAGATTTTTGCATTATATTATTTTTGCTACAACTACTTAAAAATAGCATGCATTTTAGTTTGTATAGCCTATTAAAAGTGATTCCTGGGGCCAGCAGGTGGCATAGTGGTTAAGGGCACTGGATTCCCACATCACCAACAGTGGTTCGAGTCCCATACCTGGTGGCTTGCTTTCTCACGTTCTCTTTTCTCTCTCTCTCTCTCTTTTTTTCCCCTCTCTCTCTTGCTCACTCTGTCCCTCTCTAGTCAAAATAAAAATAAAGTTAAATAAATTAAAAAAAACCAAACCAGTAATTCCTTCTAAGTAATCAAATTAGGGAATTTAAAAAAAAAAATTCAAGTGCCTGCTCCTCCCCCCTTTTTAGAAGCAAGTTACTTTTAAAAGGCTTAGAAAACAAGGTAATGTATTTTAAGCATTTATTCCAATATCATTCAAACAATAAATAGCTAATATGTATTGACTATTTTTCATGAGGCATAAGTAGGATATTTATAATGATAAATATTCATTGGCTATTCATATTGAGGAAAAAAATAGGGTAAATTATGTAATTCATTTGATTAGAACAGTGAAGCTGTTGCCCCAAAGTGACTCATCTGCTGACTGACACTTCTGTTTCTGCTTAGAGACCTGACTTTTCATGTCTAAGGAAAGACTGAGAAATTGCATGTTATGGCTCAGACATCCTCATAAGAAAACCAAATCTCATTTCAGTGTTTTATAGAAGCATCCCTTGTTAAGTTTCTCTTCTTATTCCTGAGATTCCCGCCACCCCTCGGGCTTTCTGAGCTCAGTGACATGTAGTTTGTTAAGCAACCTGATCTGCTTTTGATCTCCTCTGGCTGTCAGCAGCTTTTCTTGATGTAGTCATGCCAAATGACGACTTCTGCTCCAGTGCCTTTCTTGGGTAGGAATTGTAGCACTTGCCACATGACTTAAATCAACTCAACATGCACAGAGCATGGAGTAATTAAGTTGCCGGAAATGGACAAAAATGTTCTTATGCAGATTCTTCTCTGTACTCTTTCTTTCTCTTTCCTCCCCATCCTTACCCCTGTCTCCCTTTCTGAAAAATCTCTTTAAAATTTATTAACTATATCTTTAAGCTGAAGCAATGTCCATGTCCAGAAATATATAGGAAGAACCAGGTTTTTGTTTGTTTGTTTTATTGCAGGGCACATGTACTCACCAGAAAGAGAGTGAGAAATTGTGCCCCCCTCCCTGCCCCCGAATTCCAGGAGGGGATGGCCACACTGCAGTCCCTTATCTATTCTCCTCTTGGGATTTTGGGCATGCACGCACATGTGCCTGGTGCGTTTTTAAGCTGCTGGGTCTGGGATTCAAACTGCAGTGTCAGCCTGTCAGCCACCTTAACCACTACACTACTGCCTAGCCCAGATGAACAAGTTTTTAAATTTGTTTTAACTTCCTAGCTTACAATGATTAATACACAAGTATTACATTTGAAATGATAAGTTTTACCCGATTTTTTCCTTATGTTTGAAGAGAGGAAAGAAAATAACCTTTTTAAAAAGTAACATTGTATAGAATTATAACTGTAGTGTGGCCATTAAGCATGGTGCATTGGGAGTTAAATCTCACAGGGCCAACCTGGGGTTCAAGTCCTGGCCCCAGTAGCTTGAAAAATACACCAGGTGTGTTTATGTGTGTGCCCATAACCTTGACAAAATAGAGAAATGGGGGAAAAGACTTATGGTGTGACCCTGCTCATTGGGGATATGTTTTCTCTCTCTCTCTTTGGATGGTGACTGCATAATCCCTGTGGCAGAAGCATATTAATTTAAAATTAATTTAAGATCAATATCAGTTCAACATAGAAACTTTAGGCAATACTGAAAAATGTAGAAAAGAAAATGTATTTATCCTATTTCTATAATCCAATGATAAATAATGTTTGTATCATATATATATACTATATGTATGTTGCATGCAAGAATTGTACATTTGGGACCATGATACATATTTGAGAGTTTTGTTCAATCTTATAGTCTCTGCTTTATGGTAGTATAATTTAATTTATTTACATTTAATTCTATTTTTCTTCCTATTTTTCTATTGTCTTGATACACTTTTCAGTATTCTCTTTCTTATTTCCCTAGTAATATTTTGTTACTACATGTAGAATCCCTATTATTTG